CACTTGCGTGCACAAAAATTGAACAGGCATTCAGGATACCAAAGTAAAGAAGATCTGAATCATGAGAATATTGTCCTTTTTCCACACCAGGTGAACTCCTCCAGGGAAAAATCAATTTTCTCGTTGACCCCGTTGGTAGGTGTTAGGGCAGTGACCCAGATTGTGGCAACCTCTTGTTCTGCTCTGAGGAATTCGTCCAGTTTTGTCCCCTCAAAAATTACTCTTCAGATGACAGGCAGTTTCTTATCAACCCTGTAGGCTTGCTGAAAGCTGTCATCACGATCTACTGGTAACATTTCTAAGAAGGCTCTCTGGAGGGACGCACTCCACATCCCGGGGGAAGCCCTGTATCCAAGAGGGGTGCCTGCACATTTGGTATTCTTGAAATGGAGCAGGGCCCTACGGTCCTGGTCCCCACCACCCCAGCATGTTCTCTGCCTGCCTTTTGCCTGTGGAAAACTTTAGTCAAAGAATAAATTTAATCAGAGAAATGCAGAAACAGCAGAAAATAGTCAAGAGACTAAACAATAATGATGCAGTCATTAAACCTAGTCAAAGGCCGTTCGCTCTTTCTCAAGGACACAGATAATACTCTGAGCCACATCCTGTGCGCTGTCTCACAGAGACTGAAACCCCAGGTGGAGAGGTTAACCACACGATGACCAGACTGCACCCACAACACGAGCTGCCCCAACTCCAAGAACTGACCGCAAAGAAATGGGAACAAGTGGACCGTGGAACGAAAGGCTAACTGTACCTAAAACATTCAGGACGATGCTGGTCAGCCAACTGATGACCAATTTCAAGCTGTCAGAGATGACTGTGCTGTTTCTGCAAGTGGTCCCTCCCCACCAACTCTGTCTATAAATGCTCTCACCCCTCATCAGGGTGGGAGTCGGCCTTTGCAGAGATGACTGCCACCCTTCCCCCACCCCCGACCCTCAGCCTTGACCCCCACCCCCAGCCCCGTCCCCACCTGAAACAAAGCGAAGCTAACTTTCATTTCCACCAACCTGGCCTGTTGCTGGCTTTTGAGCGGTGAGCAGCTAGACCCACAAAGTTTTTCTGGTAACATTTTGACAAACTCATTCCATCACAAAGGACTGCAAAAAGTTTTTTTTTTTTTTAATTTTTTTTTTTGTTGAAGTATAGTTGATTTACAATATTGGGTAAGTTTCAGGTGTACGACACAGGGATTCAGTTATACATGTACATAAATTCTTCAGATGGTGAACACCTTTTCAATGCGATTACTGGCATTTGTGTGTATCTTCTTTTGTAAAATATTCCATTTATTTCAACCATTCAAAAAATTGAGTTGTTTGCCTTTTTATTATTCCTCATATATTCTGAATGTAAGTTCTTTGCCAGATAGGTGACTCTTCCAGTCTTTGGCTTATGTTTCCATTTTCTTAATGATGTCTCTGAAGAGCAGAAAATCATCACTTATCATCTTTCTTTTCCTTGTATCTTTTAAATCTATCTTTAATAAATAAATTAGGGTAAACGATTCTTTACCTGGTGGAACTTCCTCCCTGTGTTTGAGAGTCAACTGATACCCCGGGACATGTAACCACTGATGTTCTTGTTCATTTTCCCCCATAGAGCAAGGGCTGCACTTTATGGAGTGCTTTATACATAGTAGTAGAATGCCTACCAGGCTTCCAAGGTGGCACTAGTGGTAAAGAACCTACCTGCCAATGCAGGAGACATTAAGAGACAGGGGTTCCATCCCTGGGTCAGGAAGATCCCCTGGAAGAGGGCATGGCAACCCACTCCAGTATGCTTTCCTGGAGAATCCCATGGACAGAGGAGCCTGGTGGGCTACTTAACTCTCCATAAGGTCTCTCAGAGTCAGACATGACAAGAGACTTAGCATGCCTGCAGAATGCCTAGCAAGTAGTGGGAGCTCAAAAACTAATTGTTACACAAGTGAATATGTTGAAAATTGGAAGGGTCAATTCAATTTCATCAATTAACTTCTTTAAGCATCGTTTTCTCTTCCTTAAAAACAAGGAAACCCTCCCCCCCACTTACCTCACAAGCATGTACAAGCGAGCTATGAGATTCTGAACGCAGCCCCTTAGAGTATGTACATCAGCAAGAAGTCCGTGATAGATAATTCTCAGAAATTTTATCATTATTTCTATTATTAATATTACTAGTTCATGAAAGCTGATTTTCATTTGAAAAGAAGTATCAAAATATAAAAATTCTTTAGATTTTTATACAATTTTTTGTATATATTTTTGTATATATTTTGTATATATAAATTTTTGTATATATTTTTATACAATATATCAGATGCTGCTCATCAAACCCATCTTGAACCAAAAAAGAAAAAAATTACTAGTCAGAACTGGAGATACAAGCGTGTGCCAATTGACTTCATCATGTCAGAGTGATCGGCTTTTTATTCTAGTGAGGCTCCCTAATGTCTAAAACCCTGCAGATTACATAAAAATGACAATGTTATCATTAAATCTGCCCAAGAAATTAGACCTTAATGAATTCCATTGAGAACTACCAATTTGATAATTCGAGTTTAGGAAGTCATAATACTATTCTGACAAGAAGGTGCAGTTAAAGAAATTTGAAAGGCACGAGCAATATGTGAAAATGGTGGGCTAATTGAGGAAGCAAAGTGCAATTGTCTCCTCCCAGCAGGAAGCCACAGAGTGGAGAAGCCCCTGTTCACTGGACAATGAGACCCAATCAAACGGCATTCAGCACAGGATGAAATAAGCATCTGAGAGCAGAGTGACTTTTTCCATAGCAACAAAGACTCACAAAGTCCAGAATGTTACTGGCCAGAGCCTTGTATTGTTCTTCCCGGGTAGCATCAGCCCTCACCTTGGATGATTAAAAGTGCCAGAAGCAAGGGTGATATTCGGATATTCAAGTTAAATTGCTTAATATGCATTGAAACAATAAAAATATACTTACATGTGTAAATAGAATGTTCAATTTCCAACTATGAACAATATATAATTTGGAAACCAATTGAACCAGAAGTTTTAAGGATTTCATGCTTACTCAGCATTGCCTAGTAGAAGAATACCCATCACCCAATCTTTGCTTTTGAAAGAGCTGGTTCTCTTAAGGGATAGTGAAAGGGTGCAGATCTTTCACTCTAGTCAAGGATTTAGGCTGGGAATAGGAGGGTAAGAGGATCTGAATTGCCAAGACGCCTGAAAGACATTGCTCCTGGCACAGCAACAGCAAAGACAGGTAGCCCTTACAGAAAGTGGAGGGGCAGCAGCCACTGTCAGCCTGAGACCACTCTGTTGTCATCCACGGAGACTGAGCCATGCATGCCTTGGTTTTCGTTGGCTTCAACCACTTCTAAACATTGCCCAGATTCTCAAACTTCATCTAAAACAGACTTGAAATTCTTCTCTCATAAGGATTTGATCATGATTGAAGTGCAGTGAACAGGCAGTTAGAATTCTGGTGGCAAAGAATTTAGGTTGAAAGCAGGAATTATGTCATACTCACCTTTAATGGTAGCTCAGCGGGTAGAGAATCCACCTGCAATGCAGGAGACCCTGGTTTGATTCCTGGGTTGGGAAGATCCCCTGGAGAAGGGAGGCTACCCACCCTAGTATTCCTGGGTTTCCCTGGTGACTCAGACGATAAAGGATCCACCCACCTGCAATGCAGGAGACCTGGGTTCAATCCCTGGGTTGGGAAGATCCCCTGGAGAGGGGAATGGCTACCCATTCCAGTGGAACTGCCTGGAGAATGTCATGGACAGAGCAGCCTGGCAGGCTGCAGTCTATGGCGTCACAGAGAGTTGGACACGACTGAGCAACTTTCACTTCACCTTTAGTGCGTTGTGTGCCAAGTAGAATGCCTGGTTGGATGACTAGTGAGTGAATGAACAGGAGGCCTAAAAATAAAGTGAAAAATTTACAAAATTGTTGGAGTTGAAAGGTTACCTTTAGGAAATTAAGAAGCAAACCCCATAACTGAATTACAACACTCTATGACACAGAGCTATTGATCAAAGAGAGAATTTATTCACAGAGCTTTTCAAATACAAACAAAATAGCACTTTTTACTTTTTACAAAATGAATATTGGAATAAATGTGGTACAGCACAGTACAATAATGGACGAAAGGAAACAAGATCTAATGACTGGAAAATGTCTCTCCTTACTCTCACATCTTAACTGAATTCTCTCCTTTGGTGGACAGAAAGTTGCTCCTTTACTTCGTAAGAATATCACAGCAGAAACTACTCAGAGAAATATTGCATATTTTTGAATAATATTGAAATACAAAGGCTTAATTCTAAAGGTCTGCATAAACACTGAAAACATGTTGAGGGCGTAAAGAGTTTATGCAGGGTATACAAAATACTGATAAAGTGGCTTATTGGTCCATTGATTAGGTTGAATGTATGCTTTATAAAGTGATAATACTGTATTTTAAAAGTGTATTAAAAAAAAAAACAGAGGAGTAATGCACCACTAAACATCTCGTACAGTCTGTGCAACCACTGAAATGTCTGTGTCTGGGCATGTGTATTGCATGAGTTTGTCTGTATATGCTCATGTGCTTTCAAAAGTGCCATGACTTACCGGGAACCTTTCTGGGTTACCCTGCTTCCTAACATAATACTGTTTCTACTAGCCCTTTTGATTCTCTGAGTCATTATCCTAAAAAAAAAAAAAGACCTTGTTTGCATATATAGATTTGTTTTGTGTGTGTATGTATTCTACATCAACAATACTCTGTGGAATAGAAACACCCAACACCCTGCAATATTTTTAGCCTTTGGTCCGTTTTTCTGTATCATTCCATGCTCTACATTTCTTTCGCAAATCTTGCACAACCCTTCCAAGTGTCATGATGTTTCCGATTCCATTGGGTTTCATTTCATTTGCATCATGTGGTTTAGAAGCACTCTTCCGCCTTCTGAGAGCAGCTGGATGCTTCGGTCCCTCTGGTCCTGCGGCCCAGCTTCTCCTCGGTCCGCGCGTGGCGGCCCCATCTCAGTATGGGTACTGTTTCTGCTTCTTGCCGGAGAAGCAAGCCAGCCACGTGCAGAGCAGCATGGCGGCAGCAGCCCCCGCCCCCGTGCAGTAGTAGGCCCAGCCGATTTCACACTTACCTAGGGACACAGGAGAAGGAGAGAAAGCAGGCACAGGTCAGGCTGATTTTACTGGAGGCTCTGTCATTTCTCCCCAGGTGTGGGTTCCTGGGGTACCAAAGTGAAACTGAAATCCTCCTTAGAAATACAGTCTCACTCGAATGATAATAAGAGTTGAAAGTTATCTCAAGATGGAAGCAAGCCAGTGTGGTTGTCTGCATTTCAGAAGGACCTCAAGGCCTCTGTCTCCTGCTGGCTAAGGGACAGAAACCAGTTCTCCCCAGCTGCGATGCTCACACCCATGGCTGAAGAAAAGGAGGAATAACAGCCATCAGGATCGGGGAGATGAAGGTATTTTGATTTAAATCACTCAAACTCATATGCATAATGAGGTACCTTAGAAAAAAACTTCAAAATAGAGATACAGTCCTAAATATAGACACAGCTTTTGCAAAGGGGCCACTCTAGGAGGTGATCCATTTGAAAGATAATGTGAGTGAAAGAATCTACCAAAAAAAAAAAAAAAAACCCTCCTGTAACTACCAGGTGATAACAGCAACTCAGGATAGAAAAGTAGATATACCACTGATTTCAGACGAGAGCAAAGGAACACAGTCCTTCTTATTTTTCTTTATCATGATAAGGTTCTGTGAAGTTTCTTTGGCTGTAGGAGGCTTAACTCACCCACCTATCTACCCACCCACCCAAGTCCTGCCCTTCCCTGAAAGACTCAAGAATCAGGATAGAGCCTTCAGCACATCCTCCTTGAGCCACCATCTTCCTGAGGCCAACTAACTCCTTGTCTTGATAAGGGTGTGTGTGTCATTCCTAAGAATTGCTATGTTTATGGAGTCTTTCTTATTTGTGTTATAAAACATATAGTCAACTCATCAGACCAACTGTCTATCAGATGAAAATGGGAAGGTAGGGCACCAGATAAAGGTACCAAGAAGGGACTTCCCTGGCAGTCCAGTGGTTAAGACTCACAGTTCCACTGCAGGTAGCGCCTGTTCAAGGAACTAAGATCCCACACGTTGTGGGGTGAGGCCAAAAAAAAAAGGTACTTAGGAAGTGTGCCATTGTTGGAAGTGTTTGTGGATGTTATACAGTACTGCTACTAACCACACATAGATCCTAGTTTATGTGCATGATCTACACATCTTGTGGTTTAAATTTAGTAACTGGCTAAGATCCAAAATGAGCAACTAACATTCAGTGTGATTTAAAAGAAAATGATTCCTCTATTTCAGATATACAGACTTTCATTTGCTAGGTAATTCATAAGGTAAATCATTATTAAATCAATATGGATTTATTCTGGTATTCTGGATTATGCAGAAATATGGCCAATCCTTGACCTAACTTAAAAAAAAAACATATAAATGCATACACCACACACACACACACACACACACACACACACACTCATCTTTTGAGAAACAAAACAATGGTCAAGATCAGTATGCTAAGGTCTAGATGTGTCAATAAAATTTAGACAAATCTAAAGAAACACTAAGTCATCCATCCCTTGATTCTTTATTCCCTTCTTCCCACTTTCTTTCTCTCTCTCATTCATCCATTAATTCAACAAATATTTTTTAAGTGACCACTCTGACTAGGACTCATTGGGTGCTAGGAATCTACTTTGGAAAATGATACAGTTCCCAGTATCAAGGAGCAATCATCTCATCAAGGAGTATTACTGCTAATGCAAGAGACATAAGAGACGTGGGTTTGATCACTGGGTTGGAAAGATCCCCTGGAGGTGGGCACAGCAACCCCCTCCAGTACTCTTGCCTGGAGAATCCCATGGACAGGGGAGCTTGGTGGGCTACAGTCCATGGGGTCACAAAGAGTTGGACATGACTGAAATGACTCAGCAGACACACTCTCAGACATTTATATGATAACTGTGATATGTGCTTGGAAGACAAAACATCCAGGATGCTAAGACAGCAAATCATAAGGAACTTTATACAGTGAGGTTGCGTGACGGAGAGCCTTAAAGCAGAAATGAAATTTAAGCTGAGACCTGGCAGATGAGCAGGGGTTAGCCGAAGATGAATGTGAGAGGCCAGGGAAGAGTGTATTTGCACCACAGGGATGGGAATGTAAAAGAGAAATGTAGGCAAATTTGGGTCTTGTTAAAGTACTGTCTGGGCTTCCCAGGTGACTCAGTGGTAAAGAATCCAATGGCCAACGCAGGATAAGCGGGTTCAATCCCTGGGTTGGGAAGATCCCCTGGAGAAGGAAATGGCAACCCACTCCAGTATTCTTGTCTGGAGAATCCCATGGACAGAGGAGCCTGGTGGGCTACAGTCCATGGGGTTGCCAAGAGTTGGACACGACTAAGCAACACTTTTCAAAGTGTTGTTCAAGTAAGAGATGGGGATGTCACTGTTCGTGTAAGCAAGAGATGGGGTTGGGTGTGAGCACCTCCGGAGTTTGAGAGCTAAAAGCCTGAAGATTTCCTCTTCAAATGTTCATCTAGGCTGGCATATAGAGATGTGAGATATTCAACAATCAGTTCAGTTGCTCAGTCATGTCCAACTCTTTGAGACCCCATGGACTGCAGCATGCCAGTTGCTGAGATATTCAACATCCATAGGTAAATCTTGAGCGCCCACTCTGTGTGTTGCAATGTTCCAGGAGACCCAGGGGGGAACAAAATAGATAGCATCTTTGGTTTCAAATGCTTATGTTCTAGCATGACCGATTCTTGAGTATTGCTCACATCAGTTGCACTCTCTTGAAGCCATTCCTTGTATATTCTACACATATGTCTGCTGAAATTCAGTTAACAAAATTAACTAGATATAGAAAGTAATTTTTTCCATGAAACTATCAATGTAAATGTATCTTGAACTTCTCCAAAGAAGAAGAAAGATTTTTCTTCTTCCTGAGCATGAGTCCTTCCATAGTAAAACTCGCATGCTCAATAATAAGAAATTAGCACCGTGTTTTACAGTAATAGGAAAAGTCTTTCTGAGTACATTAGGCTGTTAGGAAAGAGCAGCTGTTTAAGTTTATATGCCTTAAACAGCACGGTAATCCGTGAGTAGTAATGGAAACAAAGGAAAACCAGGAAATAGGGGACTATTTTCCCCTGGCCTCTCCTTTCCCCTGTGGTGGCAATAAATTCTTGTTATTATAGTGCAAACACAAAGCATTTTACTAGAGGGCAAGCTTTGCCTGTGATCCTTTCAGGAAATTAGAGAAGCAAATCCCTTTAAACTTTCCCTTTTGCTCTCTGTAATGCTCCATCAAACAGGACTCCAAGCTTGCCGGGTTGGCAAACCGCTGCTTTCAGCAAAGGGGCATGCTATTCTCCACAGACAAAATAGAGGTTAATGGGACAGAAAGCAGCAAACCACAGCCACCTGCACATTCAATGGAAAAAGGTGTCCTGGCTGTGCTCCAGGGCAGCCCAAGGGAGAAGGTGGGTGGGAGAGGTGTGGCTGATTTTTTAGGGTGCCTCAAACTGGTAGCTCAGTTGGTAAAGAAGCCACCTGCAATGCAAGAAACAATTCCTGGGTTGGGAAGATCCCCTGGAGAAGGGAAAGGCTACCCACTCCAGTATTCTGGCCTAGAGAATTCCATGGACTCTGGAGTCTGTGGGGTCGCAAAGAGTCGGACACAACTGAGTGACTTTTCACTTTCAAATTAGTTTTTAGTGCATCTTCTGTTAGTAAGAGGCAGAAGAAAAGGTACAAAGAACCCAGCCTTGAGACTTCCTTGGTGGTTCAGTGGCTAAGACTCCGTGCTCCCAATGTAGGGAGTCTAGATTCAATTCCTGGTCAGGGAACTAGATCCCATATGTCACAACTGAAAAAAAAATAAAAAGATCTTGCATGCTACAACTAAGACCCACCGCAGCCAAATATATATAAATAGGGAGGCTTTCCCGGTGACTCAGTGGTAAAGAATCCTTCTGCAATGCAGGAGACTCCAGAGACAAGGGTTTGATCCCTGGGTCGGGAAAATCCCCTGGAGAAGAAAATGGCAACCCACTTCAGTATTCTTGCCTGGAAAATTCCATGGACAGAAGAGCCTGGTGGGCTACAGTTTGTCCATAGGATCACAAAGAGTCAGACAGGACTAAGCGAATGAGCACAGGACATAGAAATAAATATATAAGTGTAAAAAAATTAACCCGGCTTACTACAAATAAAAATGAAATTTCAATGATCAGTTCATCCTTTGAGGAACTCTATTTATTCATTCATTTGTTTGATTACTGTTTTACTGTCTACCACGTGACTGCTTGTCGGCCCCTATATCCCAGGGCTCAGTATGAGGATGTCTGGAGCACAGCAGACAATCGATAGACATTTGTGGATATCAGACACAATATTAGTGCTGAGAACAGAGATCTGAAATTAATAATTATATAATAGCGGTTGTGGACAGCCTGTGAAGCAGGTGCCAAACAATTTAGAAGCACCATCTCATGTAATCATTTTTGCCCATGATGCCTTCAGGAAATTAGAGGAACAAATCTGTCATTCCCATTTTGAAGATGAGGACCCTATGCTGCATGCAAGATAAGTCAATGGCCCAGTATCTCACATCAGTGATGGAGCTTGAACTTGAACTCTAAAACTTTTTCCTGTGCTCAGATATGTTTTAGGAAGATCCATATCAAAATTTTCCCCAGTTGCCAGATAGTACTTGTCTTTGCCAGAACTTACATGCCATGCAGAAATAGGCTATATGATGCATCTTTGAATTTACCAGTATTCTGAGAAGACTCCATATGCCCATGTCTATCTGGCACTATTTTAGTTATTAAAGGCTTGCATTTTACAGATCTGTTTAGATCTATGTAGATTCTACAGAATCTACAAATTCTCAATTTTGGAGTCAGCGGAACCTATCTGTCACTCTCTTGGTGACCTCATCCCCCTAGGGGATGAAGGAGAGTGAGATCCAATACATTTACTTGATCAATTCAGATAATTGATTTTTCCTGAGCAATCACTTACCATAAACATGCTTCCAAAGTGGATGTTTTTGACCTG